TTCAGCCTTGGAAAGTTGTATGATTCTAAGAATTTATCCATTTCTTCTAGATTTTCTAATTTGTTGGCATATAGCTGTTTGTAGTAGTCTCTTATGATCCTTTTTATTTCTATGGCAGCCATTTTAACTTTTCCTCTTTTGTTTCTGATTTTATTTATTTGAGACTTCTCTCTTTTTTCTTAGTGAGTCTAGCTAAAGGTTTATCAGTTTTATCTACTTTTTCCAAAGAACTAGCTCTTAGTTTCATTGATCTTTTCTATTGTCATTTTTGGTCTCTATTTCACTTATTTCTGCTCTTTTATTTCCTTTCTTCTACTGACTTTGGACTTTATTTGTTCTTTTTCTAGTTACTGTAGGTGTAAGGGTTGATTATCTATTTGAGATTTTGCATCTTTCCTGAGACAGGTCTGTATTGGTATAAATGTTCCTCTTAGTACTGTTTTTGTCACATCCTATGGATTTTAGTATGTCGGATTTTTATTTTCATTGGTCTCCATGTATTTTTTGACATCTCCTTTGATTTCTTCATTGACCCAATAGTTGTTCCATAGCACACTGTTTAGTCTCCACATATTTTTAACTTTTCCAGCTTTCTTCTTGTGGTTGATTTCTAGTTTCATACCATTGTGGTCAGGAAAGATGCTTGATATGACTTCAATCTTCTCAAATTCATTGAGACTTATTTTATGTCCCAACATATGGTCTGTCCTGGAGAATGTTCCATGTGCACTTGAGAAGAAGTGGTATTCTGCCACTTTTAGATGGAATGTTCTGTCCATATCTCTTAAGACTATCTTGTCTAATGTTTCATTTAAGGCTTATATTTCCTGGTTAACTGTCTGTCTGATGATTTATCCATTGATGTAAGTGGATTATTAAAATCCCCCACTATTGGTGTGTTGCTGTCAGTTACTCCCTTTAGGTCTGTTAATATTTGCTTCATGTATTTTGGTATTCCTATGTTGGGTGCATATATACAATATATGTTATGTCTTCTTAATGGATTGTTCCCTTTATCATTATATAATGTCCATCTCTGTCTCTTATTATGTTTTTTGGCTTGAAGTCTATTTTGTTTGAAATAAGTATGGCTACACCCACTTACTTTTGACTACCATTTGCTTGGAGTATCATCTTCCACCCCTTCATTTTGAGCCTATGTTTTTCTTAAGAGCTGAGTTGAGTCTCCTATAGCCAGCATACACTTGGGTCTTGTTTTTAAATCCATCCAGGCACTCTGTGCCTTTTGATTGGTGAGTTAAATCCATTTACATTTAGAGTGATTATTGATATAGGAGGACTTAATACTGACATATTGTCTTTTGTTTTCTGGTTGTTCTGTATCTTCATTTTTTCTTTTTTTTTTTTTTTTGCTTATGTTTCTATCTGCCATTATAGTTTGGTGGCTTTCTATACTGTTTTTCTCAATTTCCTCTTTTTCTAATGTTTCATCTTTTTGCTCTAGATTTTTGTTTTGTGGTTACCATGATACTTGTATAAAATGTCTCATAGATAAAATACTAGTTTTTCTGCTGATAGTGTCTTATCTTCATTTGCCAATACAACTTCCGTTCTCTTCCTCCTCCCTTTTTACGTTTTTGTTGTCACAAATTGTTTCCTTTTATATTGTGATTTATTATCATATGAAAGTAGCTTTAGTTATTTTTAATGCTTTTTCCCCCTTTAGCCTTTATGATATAATTAAGTGTTTAACACCCTATTCTATAATAGTTTTGCAGTTTTCTTGTTCTGTCTGTTTATCACCTATTCAAAGTTTTGTGTACTTTTGCCTTTTGTTTCTGGTAGAAGAGCTCATTTCAACATTTTTTGTAAGACAAGTCTACTGGTAGTTGACTCCTTCAGTTTCTTTTGGTCTGGAAAGCCTTTATTTCTCCTTCATATCTGAAGGATGACCTTTTGGATAGAGTATTCTTGGCTGGGAGTTTTTATCTTTCTGCATTTTGAATATGTCATTCCACTTTCTCCTGGCCTGTAGAGATTCTGCTGAGAAATCTGCTGATAGCCTAATGTGAGTTCCTTTTTAGGTTTCTTTTTTTTTTCCCCAGGCTTCCTTTAAAATTCTTTCTTTATCATTGACTTTTAACAGTTTTATATAATGTGTATTGGAGAAAGTCTTTTTGTGTTGAGATAATTAGGTATTCTATAAGCTTCGTGGACTTGTATATTCAGTTCCTACTTCAGGTTTGGGAAGTTCTCAACTATTATTTCTTTACATAAGCTCTCTGATCCCTTCTTCCTCTCTTCTCCTTCTGGGTAGTCATTATTCTTATGTTGTCTTTTTTAATGGAGTCAGATAATTCTTGTCGAGTTTCTTCGTCTTTTAAAAATCTTAATTCTCTTCCCTCTACTACCTGAATCATTTGTAGGTTTCTAACTTTGAGCTTGCTAATTTTCTCTCCAATAAGGTCTGCTCTATTTCCCGTACTTTTTAATACCTTCTTCATCTCCTTTATTGAGTTCCTCAGCTCCAGAATTTCTGTCCAGTTGTTTTGTAGAGTTTCAATTTCTTTGATAAAGTACTCCTTGTGCTCATTAATTTTCTTCCTGAGTTAATTGAACTGTCTTTCTGAGTTTTTTTTATAGCTTATTGAGTTTCTTCATAATATCTGTTTTGAATTCTCTATCAGTTTGATTGCAGTCTTCCATGACTACACTTATGGTAGTCAACATCTTTCTTATTTGTGAGGCTTTGTTTATTTTGATTCTGAGCTGCCTCTGGTTATATTTGAGAGCCAGCAATTTCTACCCTCCACGTCCTCTGCCAACAGTGTCATTGATGCTCTCATGCACACCTAACAATTTTAAGAGTAAGTCTTTGATACCATCAAATATTCTAGTCCATATTCAAGGTCTCTCAATTGTCTCAGAAATATCTTTTTGTTCTTTTCTTTTCAAATTTACTTCAACTTTGGAAGAAACTGTAGAATAGCATGTTGATATTTTAGCAAAATTGCTACAGTTTGTTTATATTATAGTATAAATATATGTGATAGAAAACTATGTCTCTACTGCACATGAGTGGGTAAAACAATCATGACTTCCTATATATAGAATAATCTTTCAGTGAGATGTAACAACACATGTTGCTGTTATTTCAGAAATGGCTTATTTTTTCCAAATTTGCAGTGATCAATATTTCATAGGTTTTTAATATTAGATAAGTTAATTTGCCTGCTTCAAAAATATGAATGAAAATATTCAACCACTCATGAAATTTCACTTATGAAATCATGGTGCCTTAAAGGGTCATAACAATAAAATTTGTATATTCATTGCACTTTTCTTTTCATTAACCACCTCTAACGTAAATACACACACACACACACACTTTGAAATCATGAGCAAAAGGATTTGAGGATTTATATTGGTTTGAATTTCTTGACAGATTTTATTTTGTAAATTGAGTTGTACAATATGTACTCTAGGAGGATAATTAACAGAATTCTTCAGGCATCTAGTTACAAAAAGCCATGAAAACTTTATTACATCATTTGTGGTCTGAATTATAGCTTTAATCTCACTGAGAGGAGTTATAAAATAGGCAGATCTGTTTCTCTAAATATTGACACTATCTGATATAAAGTTCACAGACCTGGTGCAAGAAATGGAGTATTTTCAAAGTTGTCAAACTGAAGTACTATTTTTTTCCTTAAGTAAATAAAAAGGGAGAAAACTACACAAAGCAATAAACAGGTTTTAGTTGAGCATTAAACTACTAAAACAGAAGTCAGGCTTTAGATAGCGACAAAACTAGCCATTACTTCTTACTTAACTTTTTTGTAAAGTATTTTGGCAGAAAAACTTTTTAAATCAGAAAATCACATTAAATGACTTTGTTTTAAATTTTTTGTGAGTCTGTGTAGTCTCCCAACTCTTTGAGAATGAGATATGTATTTAAGATTCCTTTAAGAAAGTAGAAAGAAGAGATGAGACAGAATACATGCACATTAATTTGTGGGATATGCAGGCTGCATTATGAGGATACTCAAGCTAAAAATCACTTTCACACTCTTTTCAAATCAAGCGGCTTTCTCAGGTGATTGTCATATCTTACACTGACTTGGCAATAAGGAAGTAGAATCTAATTGTAATCAAACTTAGCTATTTAGAAGCCTCTTATTTGTAAAATACCATAGAATAATGTCAAATATTTATGAATAAAACCTTAATCACAGCATTTCAGAGCCAGATGGTATAGAGATCCTCTATCATATTCCCCTCATATAATGGATGAGAAAACCAAGACCGAAATTGGTTCAGTGACTTATCCTAAGTCACACATCAACCACGTGATAGAGTTAAGACTAGAACCCATGTCTCCTACTTCCCTGCCTAGTGTCCTTTATGCTATACTACATATATTTAACATATTGGGTACTGAATGATACTAGAACAAATTATATATTATTTAAATTGTTAATTATACAATTAATTTTGATTTTGACTTATTTTTTTGTTTTTGTGGTATATCTTTTTTTATGCTTTTTTTGGTAAGGAAGATTGGCCCTGAGCTAATATCTGTTGCCAATCTTCCTCTTTTTTTTTCTCCCTAAAGCCCCACTGTATAGCTGTATGTCCTGGTTGTAGGTCAATCTAGTTCTTCTATGTGGGATGCCACCATAGCATGGCCTGATGAGCAGTGCATATGTCTGCACCCAGGATCCAAACCAGTGAACCCTGGGCTGCTGAAGTGGAGTGCGTGAACTTAACCACTCAGCCACAGGGCCAACCCCCTGTGATATATCTTAATTTAACATTGTTAATATGTTATTTATAGGTATTGTTGCATTTTAGTGATTTATATGCATTTTATAGTAATAAGTTATAAAACAACTGGTAAGATTTACTTTTTTGTAGATGGGACAGCAGAACCAGGAAAAAATTGATCCTTCTACTCCGAAGTAGATATTTGTTTCTTTCTTTCTTTCTTTTCCTTTTATATAGGTGATTGTGAAGCTGTGAAATGAAGAGCTATTGGAAAGATGAGGAGTTAAGAGTTCATTCGGCTGTCCAGATGTATCCAAGTACCCAGTTATTTGGCAATAAATACATCTGGGCAACTGATTGAACTTTTCGCTTTTCATGACTCAACTGGAACCTTCCACAGCCAGAAGGACCTGCTATATAGTCAAAAGTTTGTGATCTCTTAACCTAATGAGATGGGAAGTGGGAGTTGCTTATGGGGGAGGAGGCACCAATGTAAATGTAAGTGGGAACACATTTTACTTTGCAGTTAAATCGAACGTTAAGTATTTTAGCAAAAGATGAACAGATTTTTCCCCCTGGTTTGCAAAATTAAAATCAAACTAACAGAAAATTTTAAAGTGTTCCCATCAATGACACTTGTTATATGCTTAACTCCCCAGTGTAAACAAACTGTATTTTTTATTGTGATTGAGAATAACCAGCAAATGCTGGCTAATATTATTAGTATATTATAATATTTTTTAAGTATTTAACCTCAAGCTATGGCTACATTCATAGGTCCATCTAAAGTATGTCCCCCAATCACTCTTTATCCATTATGCCATTTTAGTTTATTTCTAGCAATTCTTACTATCTGAAATTATCCTACTTATTTGTTTAAATGTTTATTGTCTGTATCTCCTGCTAGACTGTGAGCTCCATGAGAGCAGAGGCCTCTTCTATCTTGTTTGCTACTACATGCCCAGCATTTGGCAGAGTGCCGAGCACATAATAGACAAGCAATAAATATTCAAATACATTAAAGTATTGTTATACAGAGTTTTCAGTCCTGTAAATTAGTCACAGTTGGTCTCCAAAACAGAGATTTAGCATATGGTTTGCTCCAGTGAGCTCCGCTGTTTAAAAGCCTTCGGTTTACTCTGCTATGTGGATACTTATGCTGAGATAATTCGGGGATAGTGCTACTACCACCTATGGAGAAAGCAGCTTCAAATTGCCGGGGACTCTGCCCACTGAGCCAGCTTCTCTCAATGTCTGGTACTACTATTGTGGAGTGATTTGGTAGCTATTTTAACTCTATCAATTTGGAAGCGGTGTTGTTTTTGAAGTATTGTTTTAGGTAAATGGAATAAATCTAGCTGTGAAAAACTTAGGATCTTATATACTGTAGATTTTACAAGGTAACTATCTTGTTAACGCTCACTAAATTTAACAATAATCACTCTCATAAAATATGTAAAACACAAGCAGAATCTTTTATTAAATACAAATAAGGAGAAAATATTTCATGTTTCATTTAAATTCCAAGAACAAGAGAAACGTTTAAATTTGTTTAAACATTATCTTGAGGGGCTGGAGGAAAGAAATGACAGTAATGACACTAGACCTGCATTCAAATAAAATAATCACCTTATTACCAGATCTCATGAAATGCCCAGGAGACACCCAGAGTCTCATCCAGTTAATGCCCTCCTGCCCTTCCCTTTCAAAAGTGTCTCAGTTTGGAGAAGAAATTATAAAATCACCCAATATACATAATTGTACATTCAGATTATATACGTTAGATTTCACTATGACACACTATGAGGAAGTGTCCAGTTCTGTGTCTGAAGCACTGCATTCTCAGGCAAGCCAAAGAAAGATACAGTAAGCAAGTCGCTAGTATTGCATTATCCTATGGTATAGATACTTGACTATTACAGAGCTAATCATTCCCATTGAAGTCTCTTACCTTGAGGCTTTTTGCCTAATATAAAATAACACTTTCCGGCAGAGCAGATTGCCAAACATTGGAACTTTATAAAATTGCCTCTCCTAGAGGTTGTTCTAAAGAACATCAATTATCAACTTTCTTCAAGTGGTTTAAATATAGACCTGTCTGAAGGCAAAGGACTAGATTATTTGATCACTCATCATTTTCCAGCCGTAGGAGTTGTGTGAATTCATAATTTTAGAATAAATTAAGACCTTATACTTGAAGATAGACAGTTGGAATTTATTTAACTTCATACAATAAAGTTTGAAATGAGCTTAACATGCTTAAAGATCCTTTGTTGACTGGTAGAAGAACAGGCTCTAGTTGCATTGATTATAACTGGACTACTTAGTAACTTTTTATTAAAATCACAAATAGTTATTATTTGATTATAGTTGGCAAAAGTGAATTTTTACTATGACTGTTGTATGTTTTATTAGAAAATCCCTACAGTACATTTGAAGTTGAAAGGAAAATTCCTACAACATTCATTAGTCCTAAGGATAGTTTTTGAATTAAAAGATTTCCCCCTAAAATGTAAATCTGTGCCACAGTAACATAATTTCCCAGGACTGTTCTGAACATTTATGACTAATTCACTTTTGATCTAGCCATCTGCCAAAAGCTCTGTGGCTATAGTACCCAGAGGGATGATTTTTGAATTATGAGTCCATAATTTCTGAACCGTGAAAACTGACAAAAATTAAACATCTACGTTTGTTATTAATTATTCAATTCTTAAAGGCTGTATTATAAAAAGTCAGACAAGAATGATCTCAGTTGACTGTATATTCAATAATTTTTAAAAACATTCAACGTCAGATTTAGTCTCTTCAGTATGAGAGAAAGTAATCTGCTGCATCACCATGATGAGCTCATGGTATTTCCAGAAATTTAATATAAACTATGTTTTTTTATGGGTTAATCTCTACCCCCCAAATTTGTTAAAACACCAAGTAGAAATGCTGGCATTTTCTTCTTAGTCTCATCAATAATATGTTTCATCTGGTATTGGAAAGAAATAATAAAAAACAGAGGACATAAAATGTGATTGAAACATGACCAATCTCTCTTCAGTGTCAAAGAGTGGAAAAGGTAATGGTACAAATGAATTATAAATGGTTAGCTTTAGAAGATCCAAGAAAATGTCCAGGGTTTTCAACAAAGTTGTAGACTTCTATCCACTCCAAACTCAATTTGGACAAAGCCACAGCTCTTCCTTTATTCTTAGGATCTTTTGACTTCACACCTTAAATCTCTGCAAGTCTCTCCCTTTCCCTTCCCTTCAATTAGCCCATTGCTTTGCACCAAGCACTTGGCTAAGGACCATGGGAGTTACATGGGAAGTACATTTACATGACTCCTCCTCTCAAAAGGGTCTTTAGTACACATTTAGTACACATCTGCTTCTGCTGCATCAGACAAAACTTTTTAAACATTTTCCATTTCCTCAACAATCACCTTCTCTCATCTGGCCATTCCTCTTCTCTTCCCCTTCATCCAACTGCATTCTAGATCCTTTCTACACTACTTTATTGCAATGGTGCTAAATTTACTAGCAGTCTTCTTTAAGCAAATCACATAGTATGAACTCTGTTCCTTCTCAAAACACTCTCCCTTGACATTCTCCCTTTTGCCTATTCTCTCCATTTTATTTGCTGCCTTCTCTCCTTGTTTTTCCTTTCTCTAATTTAATGTCTACTCTTTACTGGCTTAACAGTTGATTCTTAAACTTAATCCCCAACTATGACTTTACTGGATTCCAAAATTTTGGGGGTTTTCCTTGTTGTTATTATTCATGTTTTTACTTTTACCTCCCAATAGAGAGCAAAGTAGATGCTCTTTCATAAGCTAAATTTAGTATGTGTAAAACTGAAATGATATGCAAAACTGATTTTCCCGTCTCACCTTTGTAGTTTTCACAAATGAATTTAATATACAGTATTCCACAAGCAAAAAATAAAGGCCACATATATCCCACCATCTGGATGGCAAATTAGCATGGAAAACTAGATCCCTTAGAGAGAGCACAACACTGGTCTTCCAAGTGAATGAACCATCACATTCTTTTACAATGAATGCAGGAGGTGTAGCATGACTTAAATTCATACCCATGCAAAACCCTTAAAAAGCTACTAAGAATAAGTCAAAATAGGAGCTGTGATCTGAAGAAATCTTAGGTCCCATCATAGTCAATCTTAAGTTTAGACCTAAATAGGAATTAGCTATGAAATTGACAAATTCCCAAGTCTAGCCTGAGGTCATGTTGGAAGAGACAAAAGTAGCCTTTGCTCTTTTTAATTTGTGCCAGCCTTTCTTCCCCACAGAGTTTTTACTTTTTGTCATTATTTTCACTTCCATGATGATTATTGATAATGGCTTTTAAGTATTTCTGTGAGTGATACTGATTCTGATATTATGAAATTTATTTCTGAATATGCAGTGGAGATCTTATTTTGGTTCAATTGTTCTCAAGTGCTCACACTATGTTTTTGTGATATATGCTATATGACACATGACATTTGTTGATATATGAGCATAGATTTCATAGGCATCAATTAAACATAATGCTGAGGGTATGGCTTTTGCTTAATTAAAATTCCATATTAATTGAGGTTATTCTGCAGTTTTTGTATAAAATTATACTATAGAGAACTATATGAAAACTAATATTTGTCCCCCTTTTTGCCTTAGCAAATGTAGTTACTGTTATTGATGCCTGAAGATCTTACAGAGCTTTAGAAAGAGCATGAAAAGGTTTGTGATTTATGCTACAGAAAGAAATGAGATTGGTCTGAATGTGTATTTACTCATCTGGAACTTACTTCTGTGATTTAATCTGTGATTTTCTCTTCATGCTTGAGACAGCTAATTGATTTCAAGTTAATCAATCTTTTTCTGTACACACACACATGTATATACACACACATATAAACATGTATATATTTTTATAACATTATTACCTTGTTACATGATCAAACATAGTTTCTATGAGAATTAATAAATTCTTATAAAAAATTAATCATTCTGTCAGCTATCCCACAAGTGACTTTTTTCTTTATTTTATAAAACACAAATCTTCCCAAATTTGAATACTTAAATTTAAAGGTATTCTTTTTGTGTTCACTCAAGCATGAGAATTCCATTATGAAAAATTGGTGGAGTTTGAGAAGTATGCAGATCAGAGCATTTAATTAGATTTGTTTTATTTTTTTGTTTGTCTAACTAATTTATCTTATCCAAGGATTTAAGAGGGTTTGCATCCCCTCCTCTTTTTGTAGAATTACTCACAGAACGTTCCTCATTGCGAAATACCATCATAGTGACCTGGCCCTTTGGGGAAATATGTAATGTGGCATTACTTACTTACATAACTTACATAATATATTCTTGTCTATCATATAATAT